AGATTCTTGTTGTAGCATTTGTTCTTGATATGAAATAGGCAATTTCTATGTATTGTGTTTGGCATTCTGCAATTGCCCCCTTCATAGCCTTATCTTGATCTGTTATTATAGTTTTAGGTCTTTTTCCTCCCATTGATTGTAGGAATGTTTCAAAGACCCATTTGAATGTCTCCTTTGTCTCATCCTGTACGAAAGCACATGCAAATATACATGTTTGTGCATGGCCTGTGATACCAACAAAAGGAGCAAATGGCAATCTGTACTTGTTTGTCATATATGTTGCATCGAAACTAACACAATCTCCATAATTTGCATAATACCTCAGTGTGATGATCCATCTCTCCAAAATATATTGCAAACTCTTTTGTCATCATCTAATTGGAATCTGTAGAAGAATGTAGGATATTCTGCCTTTTTGGTTCTGAAGTATTCTAATACCTTTGTCATATATGTGCCTCTGACTTGTCTGTTGATTTTTGTTCTATAATTGCTGATATCCTTCTTCTTTACTGGTAATGTTGTTGGCCCGCCTCTCATATGTGATAATATAGATATCATTTGCCTTGTAGGTATGTTATTGTCGTTCAAAGTCCTTATAAGTTCCTTCTCTAATTCTGTCAAATATTTGTGTCCACTTAAGGGTTGTCCTGGACATAGATCATGGTTGTGATCTAAATCCAGTCTGATGATTCTCCAAACACCCTTATCTTCACTAGCAACCATGACACATTGGCAATCTATTTTGTCTAAGACATTAGTCCTCCTTGGTTTCTTCTTCTTTTTTCCAATCTGTTCATCCACTTGTGCCTCCTTTTGTTCTGTATTCTTTTTGACCGGTGGTTTTCCATACCTGTTACGCTTTACTGTAGTTCTGATCATCTCATTGTCTCTTTTCAAGCTTGAAGTCCTAGCGACATGTACAACTACGGTTTTGAATCCTGCGAGAGATGCATAGAAGTTGAAGAAATGCTCAGCAGCATCTTTGCTCTCAAATTCCATTCCTAACTGAGGTGTGTAGATGCTGTTCAAATCTGCATTATTGCCTTCTGATGCTGCTATTTGTTCACTTATGATAAATGCTTCTATCTCTTGTTCAGTCAGTTCCTTGTCTGCATCTGTCTCTGTGTTGTCTTGCTTTTCTGATGGAACCTGGTGAGTATCTGATGACTCTGCATTTGTCCTTGTGACTTCTGATGTTGTATTTGACTGATCCTCTTCCTCGACCATTGTAGGTTCTTGTATTTGTTGGAGTTGCATGTTTTTGAAGATTGCATCGCCCCATTGTCGATCTTCATTCTCTGTTAAGTAATCTTCATTCCAGTTTGATATGTGATTATCCTGAAAATACAATTAGTAATCAATATTACTATTTGAATCTAGCTTAATGCTTTTTTGGTAAATTTATATATTTTAGAGGTGGTTGATGTATAAATATATTACCTGACAATCTGAAATTGAGTAACTGTTATCATTGTTCCATTCAAGATGGCTGTTGATATCCCCCAGTGAAATCTACAAATTTGGTTCATAAGTGAATCAGGCAAGAATCTATTTTAATTTGTGCTCATTTCACTATTGTTCTTTTGGTTTACCTCCTTTTCTTATAATGTACTTGATCTGTCATACTCACTCCCTGTGCAATAGTCTGACACTGGTTGATTGGCTTCCACATTTTGCTGCATTTATTTCCATTAAGTAGAATTAGTTAATTAAATTTGATTAATGCAGTGTAATATTTCAAATATATGTAATCAATTTTTTGTTGTTCTAACCTGAAAAATCTGTTGACCTAAGAGCATATTTGTATAAGATCCCTGCATATCCTGAGTTAACTGAAACCCATAGTGTAATTATTACATTAGCACTGTTCAGAAGTTACACATGTAGAATAGGTGTAATTTTTGTATTTTTGAAGTGTAAATATTTTCTTACCCAATATATTTCTTCTTGGGAGTTCCTTATTTGCTCCATTAGTTGTCCTATTAAGCTCTCCTGTAAGCATTGAAGTAAATTTTAAAGTTTTTTTCTTTGATCCATCATGAATGTTTTTTTTTGGAGAAGGGTTTCTTGTGGTATTACCTTGCTGGCAGTTTGTATTTGGCAATGGTCTGTATTCTGCCCCCATAGTTCTGCTGAAGGATTGTTTGAACTTGTTCCAGAGATCACATGAGCAGTTCCTGGATTTGTCAATGTTTGTGTTGTCCAAGGTTGTGTCTGCACAACAGCTATAATGCATCAGTTTATGCATTGTTAGATTTTATCTTTTCTATGTTTAAAAGACAAACCTGTATGTTGTACATTAGTCCCATGTTTCCTATCCATTGGTTCATTGTAGTACTTGAACTGGACTGAGCAAATGGATTTGATGGTAAATATGGAAACTATGTACCGATCTGATTGTGGATATGCTTGTCTTGTGTTGATTTATCTGTTTGAATCTGCATCTCTAGAGCCCTGCTATGATTCTGTAAAACACATGTTTCAATTAGGTGTCAGTAAGTGTAAGAAAAGGATTTGGTAACGTTATGGCACTCTACTAGTTTTTTACTATGGAGATTTGTGTTTCATGATGACCTGTTGTTATTTGTATCCAATCTACATGTAGATTCATGACTTCAGCTTTTTCTCTCTGAATTCAGGATCTTACCTGTGTTTTTTCTGCAAGTAGATGCAGGTGAAACTCCTAGTTTTCATCAGGTGGTTGCATTCTCCTCCTTGTGGATGAAGCTTGTAGTCAGATCTGAGTTGGATGCAATTATTTTTCCCCAGTTCGATGGTGGCTGCCCTGGAGACGAAACCCAGGCAAGTGTACGTGTCTTTTCTCTCTGTGTAGATTCGTTTCTGAGCTTCTTGGATTGCAAGGCGTATTATTTCAATTTGCCCCCTGTGGTTGTTATGTTTTCGTTGTACAGACCAATTTGTAATTTTGGGTCTGTCTAAGTGCTGGATAAATTTCTTATGACCCTATTGGGCCTTGTTTTGTTGGGTCTTATTTGGGCCTGTAGCTTGATCAAGTTATGAAAAATAAACCTGTTGTAGTTTTGGGCCTTGTACTGGATAAATGTCTTATGACCAATCTGCTTCAAGTTTGTAGCCCATTTTCTAAATAAAGAGGCTTTCTCTAAGCAGTTGTTTGATCAGATGACCAAATCAGCTGAGTTTGTTTCCTGTACAGATTTAGTTTATTTGGTACAATCAGGGTGCTGTGGCAGTGGGTTTCGTTTCTGAACTTCCTGATTCCATATTATCAATGACCTCCAGTATTCTGTTTATTTACTTCTTGTCTTGTAGTTTAATGTTTTAATGAATTGAGTTTGTTGGATTATAGATCATGTACTTACACCCTCTTCCTTTTATATTTACTTCTAATATTCACTGTAAATTTAATGGCAGGTTGATGTAAGTTGGATTAGAGTGATGTTGTTTTTGCAAGGTTTGTTCTCATTAAGAATTTCTAATTTTGTTAATTTGTTTATTTTTTATTTCTGAATCATTAGCCACCTTTTTATTTGCAATATGGCTACCATAGAAAAAAAATTGGATATTTTTGCCTGTACATATGTCCATTTGATTATTTGAATTATCTCAAAGTCCTTTTTTTGAGTTGGTTTCTGGAGTTTCCTGGTGCTTGTTCTTGCTGGCCATAGCTATACTTGCTAATCTATTTAGCTTCTTTACATTGCTCTGTAATTTATTTTACACTTGAAATGTCCATAATTTATACTGTATTTTCAACTATAATTTGTATAACTGGTTGGTGTAAGTTTTGTACTGCTTTGGTGTAAGTTTCTCTCTGATTGAATGTTGTATTGTTTTATTCAATTTGTCTAATGATTTGGTTGTGAAAGAATATGGAATTCAATTTTTGTATTTTTTTCCTCATTTGATTTTGGTTTCTATCAGTATCAGTTGTTTTAATCTGAACTGGCTTTGCTTCCTTGTTATTATATTTGATTTGGCTTAATATAATAGGCCAAGTGAAGTGAATTTGGCCTCTTTTAAATTTCGGTTGATTGAATGAATTGGCTTTGTTTGAGTGGTGCAAATCAACCGGTTGATGGTGTTGTCTCAATCAACCGGGCACAAGGTAGACAGCCCCAAATTTTAAGATTGGATTGACTTGAAGTGTGAGATGTATACTCTCTTCATCCATTTTTAATTGTCGTTCTCACTTCTCATCAAAGAGTTAAACATACTCAAACTTTGACTAAACATATATAAAAAAATATTAATATTTTTAGTACATAATTAGTATCATTAGATAATCATTGAATCTATTTTTATAATAAATTTACTTAGAAATATAAATATTGTTAATATTTTTTATAAATCTAATACAGGCGACGGCGACCACAACAGGGTATCGTCTCGTCCTTCCTAGAGGCTGGAGCCTGGAAGCATCATTTTGGTGAACCAGTTAGATTTAAGTACATGTGAAACAAAACTGTAATTATGACGTTTAAGTATGCGTATGTTAGTCTTCGCGTCCTTGTGTAATCCACCTCCATATGTGTACGGTGTACCACAGTACCAAAGCTCAGACATCCCTGATGGGTCCAAAATTCACCAAACCTGCTATTCCAAATTCAGAAGATGAAGTGAGCAGTACGTCAGGAAGGAAAAAAAAACACATCTAAACCTGCAGATTTCTCAGTACTCATAATTATGAGGATTCTTGTAGCATTCAAAGCTAAGCACTCCATCAAAATATGTTCAGCTTGCCCTCACACCAACCTGATTGATCCAAAATCAACCAAAACATAGTGCCTCAAACTCAGAAGATGTTGTAATTGAGATAAAATATTAAAAATACGGAAAATCTTGAGGTTTTGCATTCTATTATGTCAGAATGCATAAGTATATCATCCAGCATCTTGACATACAAATTTGTAGAGCCCATAAGCCGTACAACATACAGGGGTAGCATTACATGTACACACAACATAGGAGTACATATGAGTAAAATGAATCCTCTTGAGTCGTCAACAATTGTAACACGGTTAAGTGTTGAGATTCTGGAACAGCTCAGGCAGATGGGCATTCGTGAGCTTGGTCCGTTTTGTGATCTCACGCTGCTTCTTTTTGGGCTTAGCCTTGGGTTTCACGCCATTGATCTGGGCAGCTGCTCGTCGTTTGGCAGTATTGGTCATGGGCTTGAAACCGTTTTTCTGTAGCTCCTTCTCTATGTCGACCATGTCACGTGGTAGCTCTATTTCACGGAAGAGCTGCTTCAGGTCATCATCAACCTTGATCTTCGCTTTTGGATCATTAGGGTATACAATGTCCTCCTGGGAGTCCATGTTTGATAACAGCCAAACCTCACCTGCAGCCTTCAGAGCCTAGAGCACAGAAAATACTCAAAATTATGCAAATATGTTTAAATATAAATAGTAGAACATTCAGCTTGGATGGTCAAGTACACTGGTGGACATTGGACCACCAACAAAATAAAATATTAGGTAAACTACATCAAACACCTCATTAGCACAGACAGCACAACAGATGTCTAGGGAAGGCAATACATGGGCTCACTGACTAAACTCAGCCACACTGGGTACCTTTGTGATTATAGAGCATGTGGAGTTATTATTTTAGCAGCATTGTTGCTGCTAACTAGTTGGGCACCTTTAAGAACAGTGTCTGCATCACATTGTGTTCAGAAACATCTCAATTATCTGACGAGGAGAGTTAGGGTCACCTGCAAATCTTCTAATACATTTGGATATGCATCCTTGACTTCCACAACAGCAAGACCTTCAGGGAACTTCCTAATCAAAACAAGCAGTTGATCTTTTCCCTTCAGGTCATGCTTGGACTGCACAAATACGAACACCAAATCAACACATGAGATCTCAGAAGTCAGAACTAGTTCAACTGACAAACTACACAACTCTTTAGACTATAACTCACATAATTCCGATACAACATATTTAATCAATTATAGATTGCTTTCATAAGTTACAGTGTGCAAGTCAGATGGTACGGGAGGTGACTAGGACCTAGGTCCTAGGCAGCTAGACCCAGAGCCTCAACTTATGGCAGGACGCAGTTGCAAGTAGCAGGGAAGACGAAGGGAGCCAGGTACAGAAGGAGAGAGTTAAGGAGAAGAAGCTGATGGCTGCATCGCCTATGCCTAGCCTGCCAACTATGCCAAAGTTGCAGCAGACGGATGGCCACCTTTTAAAACAAATAACTATAACAGAACCCCCGCATGTGTCAACTGGAGAATTTAGATGACTAGGACAGATAGTAAAAACATTCCACATGAAAATGTAGGGATGACAAGTGATTTCCAGTTCTGTAGCTACTAATCAAATGATTCAGAATTGGCTAAGGTTCTCGAAAGAGAGCAAAAACGATCACTCGCATAGAAAGTATTAACAAATGGGTAATTCAAATTAATTATGAACAAAAATAAGCACAAATTAATTTACCTTGTAAGAGAAACGCCTCCCATCATAACTTACTTTGGGGTTGTTTCTCAAGCTGTCAAAGACAGCTTTATTACCATGGATATCAACATAAGTTGCTTCATTTATCTGCTCTGCAGTAAAAGCTTGTCTTGTCTGCAAATTCAGAAGATACAACAATTGGGATTCACAAACTAGATGCAGCATCAAAATACATAATGAGAGTTTGGATGATATTTGTTTTGCTGTCCCTGGTGAGGATGTCAGTAGCTTCTACCACTATGTACAAGATTAGTCAACCATAGTAGAAATCATTGCAGGGTCATTCTAATCTTTTAAACATTGGGCTGAAATGCTTAATTCTAGTAAGGGCAAAAGTAACCAAAACATTACATTCAAGTCTGTAAAGGTGTGTAGTCATATAACACTCGACAATTCATATGCAACATGCATGCAAATATAACCACCACAGTATTTCTTACCTGTCACTACATACCAACTTAATCTATTCCGGAAATTTCACTATATATTGCAAGGGCTTAATACAGAATAAGCAGCATATAAACATTCTAGATTACAGGCTATACATAGCAAGATTTACAATCTAACATGTGAAAGAAGGTATACAGGCAATGCTAGAAATAGGATCAAAACAGGATGGACCACTGCATCTTATACCCTTTAACAAACAACAATATCAATAACGAGTTAACAGAAAAAGCATAAAAGCCTGAAGTAATATCTACTGAGTCAGGGTTTCAATAAACAAAAAATTGTGGAATAAAAACTGAATTAGAATGAGGATTTGCATGATCAATTACACTTTGTGAGGCCAGAAGGGAGGAATCATCTCTTGAATTTGCAGTAATATGAAAAGATAAATGGAAGAAATCTGTAGCATAGCGATAAAATACCTTGTAAAGCAGTTCGATGACAAGTTTGATCTGTGCTCCAACAGGAGATTTCCTAATCGAATTGATGTGCTGCAGCCTTTCTGTATCATTTGAAAACTTAATAGGTTGTGATGGTCGTGCTGAAACGTTGGGAGCATGTGCTGGTTGGGCCCTGTGCTTTGGCTTTGAGCTCGAAGCAGCTATGCTCGCCAAAGATGACTGGCATCTCTCCTGCTGTTGCTTAAATCTGGAGAGGCTATCCTTGAGATCCATCTGCAAAAATGACATGCTCATAAGCAAAAGGCAGATAAACAAGTACAAACAGCTTCATGCGCAAGAAAAATAATAGTCCGATAGAATGATCCGGTGTTCTTAACAAGGCCAAATTAATCATTTGCCTATCAGTTGGTTGTTTCTCAAGGATCTGACATCAAATAGATGTCTATTTCGGTATTTTCCTCCTCCCACCCCATCTTCTTGCTCCTTAGCGCTCATGGCACCACCTCTGCTGCGCTTAGCCAGGAACGAAGCACCGGCCGTGCTACGCAACTTGCCAAATCCCAGTACCCGGGCGCCTTCCAGACACCTAACCCTAGAACCGCCCCCGGCCGCCGGACGGAGCTCCAGACCCGCTGAACCCCGCATGAAAACCGAGGTAACTTACCCGGTAGCAGCGTCCGTGCGCCCCCGCTCGTCTGAGGCCGCGCGGATGGAGCGGACCGTGCTCCCCGCCGCCGGGACGGTGGTGCTCAAGCGCTCTCCGGCAGGCAGGGCGCAGATGGGGGGAATCGGCTTGAGAAGAAATGAGACGAGACTTTTTTTTTTTTTTGGATTGCGAAGTAAAGACGACTAGAAGAGACTACTTGAGAACTGAGGCTGATATGCGGAGGGCGGAGCCACATAATTGAGGGACCTATGTGTAGGCTGACACTGGGCCGTTTTTCTGTGTGGGCTTTCCTGTGTGGCCGTATTCTGGCAGGGATTTCTCTCTTATGGCAACTGGCGAGAGGTCCAGCGGATGAGGCGCAGGCGGAGGACGCACGGGGCGGCGCGGGCGGCATGGCGGTGGAGCGCAGGGAGCTCGCCGGCGAGCTGACCAGCGGAGGAGGCGCGACCGCGCGGGGAGCTCGCAGGCGGACGACGCGCGACTCGCGCTCGCGGAGCGGAAGACAGATCAGCTTCTCTCGTAACAAATCACCAGCCAACTCGAAGGAGATGCGAAAGAAAAAAATATATAAAAAAAAAGACCAACGGCAACGGGCCTCGTCTGTCAGAGTTAATCCCATTTTTGATGGCTTGGTCGTACCAAACAAAACGGGTCGGTCCGTCCCTTCTAAAAAAAATAGAATCGCCTCGTCATCTTACAAACCATAAACTGGACTATCTTTTGCTCAAAAAAAAAATGGACTTCTCACCCCACCTTGTCTTCGAACAAAACACTACCTTAGAGTATCTCCAACAGCTCATCAATATACCTCATCTCACTAAGTATCGATGGCCACCAATAGTGTTTTTTTAGATTTATTGGAGAAGATGTTTTATAGATTATCAAAAGTCTCCACCAATATATAGGACCCACATGTCCGATTATATATTTTTTCTTTCCTTTTCTCACTCAAAGTCGTCTTCTTCCTACAGCAAGTCCACGACGTCTTCTTTTTCTCCCCGCGGGAGGTGGCAGCGGTGGCCATACAGGCACTTGCGACCAGCCCCGACCACCGCCACACCAAGACGAAGCCCCGCTTCGGCCACCGACACGCCCACCCCCTACCCTCCTCCACCTCTAGCTAGCCCAAAGCCATCGATGGCACCTCCTTTCCTCCGCCCCTCTGCCTCTGGCTATGGCGCCCTTATTTTCTTCGAGCCACGCCTTCTCATTGACCTCCTCCACCGAGCTCCAGCTGGTCATGGCATGGCGACCGAGTTCAGATTTGAGAAGACCTAGGCAGCCTCCCGCCCCATGCTACAAGCTCAACTAGCACGACTTCGCCGACGACGCCCAAGCAGCTTGTAGCGAGTGGCTCGTGATGCGGAGGTTCATGTGGCCATGGCCATATGCGGAAGAAGGTGAGTTATGGAGGGAGGCGGCCACGGATATAGTGTGTAGGAAGAAGAGGAGGTAGTTATTGTGGGCCCTAGTCTATTGGGGAGATACAACTCCTTAAGTTGAGGGGAGCGAGGGATTTTTTTGTGGCCATCAAAAAAAAAGAGGCTACTGGAGCACGAAAATTGATCCATTTCCCCCAATATGACAGTTTAATGGGGACGAGAGGTCTTACCGGGGAACTGATGAAGATGCTCTTAGAGCAACTTAGCGACCTAGCATTAAGCAGTAAAAAATACAATATTTTCTCTCTCCTCACCAGTCACCATAACCTTCGCCCTGCTCCTGCCACTACCGTGGGCTCTTTTCCTCGTCGGGGATCACCCTGAAGGATGACGCCTCCTACTCCTCGTTGGCTCATTGCTACAGGGGACGAGGAACTGCTTGAGAGTCGAGATGTTGGCTACGCTCTTGCAGACATCGGGGATCAGAACTAGGGGACTGAGCCTTAGTGAATCGAGGGAGCTCAGTTGTTAGTGAGTGCCCCAACTTGGATTAGAGGGTAGTGGCAACACTCGATAGTCGACACCATGAGAAAAATCTAGTTGTTTGGTGATACGACTCACAATGTCACCTTGCACGTGTTGGGTTAGTTGGCGAGCCAGAACCTATATCAATGGTGGTTAGGTACAACCTTGCTACAACGTCACCACCATCAACCTCCATTCACCCTAGGTGACTTGGGATTACCTCCGCAACTTTAAAATTTTGTAATGACAACAACGATTGTGTTGGATTCATTGTTTAGGTTGAGCACCAAATGCCTACTCCCTCCGTCCTGTAACGTAGTGTGTTCTAGCATTCAAAATTTGTCCTCATATATAATGCAATCTAGAGTAAAAAACTAATTTTACATTAAATACTTTCCGTTTATCAACCAATCAACATTAATCACGTTGATGATAGCGTCTGATTAGGAAATGAAATAAGGTTACATACGTCTTTTATGTTCTCTCATAATTTGTCTTAAAATTCTTAAAATACACTATATTACAGGACAGAGGGAGTATGCAACAATTGTTGGCATGTCCGCTTTTGCTTAAGCTTGATGAAACGCCTAAGAGATGTACTACGGCTTAGTGACTTACCCCAAAATGTGCCAAATATGAGAAGATCCTCTTTCATCAATCAGTGTGTGAAAGTGCATCTAGCCCTTTAGTGGGTTTTGGATGATTGAATGACAACGTGATTAAAGGTCTAATCCGTTTGCTAAGTGTAGACAGATAATATGTTATTTCATAGGCACTTAATAAAAGCCAAAATGATGTGTTGTTGTATAAACAATCTAGTTCAAGCACAAGACAACAATACAAATAGAATTCATGCAAAGGCTTATTTATTGTGGGATTTCCATATACTATGTGAAAACAAGCTTGTAAGAATTAATTAATGAGACATAAGGGATTGCATATGGAATGGCCTCATATTTGAAGCTTGCTAAATTAAAATGAAAAAGATAATAATACATGAATGGATTATTCGACACAAGATGTGAGTTGATGGCTTGAGATGGTGAAAATAGCAAGGAAAGGCTTCGAGGTACTAAGCAAGGATGAAGGGTAAGCGACGGCTTGGCGGCCGAAAAACCTAGCTAGGGTGAAGAAGGAAGTACTTGCATTTAGTTGATGTACTAATCAAGCTATGATGGTCATATTAATGTGGAGGATCAAATCATTATTAGAGTGTTTGATGGAAGTGACTTAATACATTTGGGATTATTCAAAATTGATGAATGAAATCAAGTCACGTGCTCAAGATGGCTATGCTCAAGTGAAAAGATCAATATCAACATGTTGGCACTCTCACTTGATGAAGAGTGGAATACATGGCTTCGGTTGAAAAAGATCAACTCAAAAGGTTTAAATTCGTTATACTTTTAAATTTGAGTTAATAGAAATGTCGTACTAATAAGAGGGATGCATCATGTTGATAGATAATGTTTCATAAGTGCTCAAGCCAACCCATGTGAATTTTGAGTATTTGAGAGACAAAAGAGCTAATCTGTTTTTGCTGGTCTGGTCCGGTATTGATACCGGACATGTCCGGTATTTGCCCAGCAATGGCAATTTTGTTGATCTCGGGTTGGTTCGTCGGGAGTTCCGGCAATGGTCAGGAGTTCCGACGTCTCTCACTTAACTAATTTAGATGATTCACTGTCCTGGTCATACCGAACGAGTCCGGTATGGACGACCAGAGGCCAACGACTAGTTTTCAAATGCCTTGAGGGTCGGGAGTTCCGATGTGAGTCGGGAGTTCCGACACCTCACAAACTTCAACTCAGATACTTAGTTTTCAAATATGCTGAGGGTCGGGAGTTCCGGCATTCATCGGGAGTTCCGACGCCTCACAACACCACTGTAACTCAGTTATCGTTGGGGCAGTGTAAGTCATACCGGACATGTCCGGTATGGCAACGGCTATAAAACGGCTAGTTTTTTCAAGGGGGCTATAAATACTCCCAAGCCTCCACTTTTGAAGGTTGTTGATTCTACCGATATACACACACACATTTTTTGAGCCTTGCCAACTCTCCCAACCCTCTCTTAGTGAGTGATTGATCAAATTTGCCAAATCAAATTATGGGTTGAGTGAAATTTAAAAAGGAGAGCAATCCAACCACTTGAGCACTTGAGCATATTGTCAATCTCATGATTTGTATTTGTTACTCTTGGACTCTTTGGTCCTAGACGGTTAGGCGTCGCCGGAGAGCACCCGAGAGATGGTGTGCCTCAGAAAGTTTGTAACGGTCAATCCCGCCGCCTCGGAATCAACTAGTGGAAGGAGGAAAAAGAGTTGGAAAAGACTCCGGCTAGAGTGACATTCGTGGTACCCTCTAGGGCTGACCTTTGCTGGGTCGCCCGTAGCCCCCTCAACGGAGAGTAGGACTCGAACGAGTCCGAACTTCGGTAAAACAAATATTGTGTCTCAATTCGCATTTCATTTGATATTTGTGTTGCTCCAGCTCTTGCGCATGTTCTCTGTGTATATTGTCATCTCTAGTAGGTGCCTGCAATTTGGTTTGAAGATAGAAATCGAAAGGAGCAAGTTTGGGGCTGATCTGCAGAAATCGTGTATACCGAACACGTCCGGTATTCATACCGGACACGTCTGGTATTAGAGCTCCGGGCTAAATATTATTTGATTTCTGTTCTAACTTTGTGTTGCAGGGTTGTAGCTTTTAGATATATTCTTTATACCTTGTTTACTATGTGGCTAACTTTTAAGGGGTGGTATTACTCTTAATCCTTTTCTAACTGTTTCCGCATTTAAAGGTGTTAATTATCAGAAATGCCTATTCACCCAGAGGCCAACTGCTAGTTTTCAAATGCCTTGAGGGTCGGGAGTTCCGACGTGAGTCGGGAGTTCCGATGGTCGGAAGTTCCGGCATGCGTTGGGAGTTCCGACACCTCACAAACTTCAACTCAGATACTTAGTTTTCAAATATGCTGAGGGTCGGGAGTTTCGGCATTCATCGGGAGTTCCGACGCCACACAACACCACTGTAACTCAGTTACCGTTGGGGCAGTGTAAGTCATACCGG